GAGTATGGAGGTGATTGCAATAGGTCGATAGTTGGCAGGGTCGGCACGACTACCCTTTTTGGGCACTGGTTGGACATTGGCAAGTTTCCAGGTTTTCGGAACTTGGCCAATCTCAAGGGATAAGCGATATAGGCGAGTCAGAATAGGAGACAACTCAGGGGTACAATTCCGCAGGACAATAGCTGGAATCCATCGGGCCCACTGGCTTTATTCACGTCTAGAGTGCTTAGCGTTTTTAGTACCTCTTTCTGATGGATGCGAACTTCCAAAATGGCAGAAGAACACTGAGGAAGCTTAGGTGGGTTTACGCCAGCAGCATCTAGCTGCGAGTTGTTCGCAAATATAGAGGCAAACAAGTCAGCCTTCTCTTTGGAGGTGTGAGCCAGCGATCCGTCAGGCTTAATTAAAGGCGGCAGCGACGACCGGCAAAAATTGGCTTCGACTGTTTTGGCAAGGGACCAGAAAGCCTTTCTTCCGGATGGAAAGGAGGCTAATTTGGCTCTTATACGGCCAATGTGATCGAAGCGGGCCTTGCGGAGAACACCTTTACAGGACTTGGCGGTACTGTTATAGGCCTTCTTCAGACTTCGAACATTTGGTGATTTGCGGGCTCGAGCATCCACCCAGGAGCGATACGCAAAATGCTTAAGCGCCTCTGCTTTAGCACAGTCCGCGTCAAACAAAGGGCGGGCGCTAAACCGGCGTGGTACGTCAGAATATGGAATAAAGTACTCCATAGCCTGACGCACCACGTCAGCAATGGCATCCGCGCAGCAAGTCGGGTCGTCCGAAGAAAAGCAGGTGCGACGCCAAGGATAAGATGCAAAGAAATGCCGCATCTCATCCCAGTCTGCTGAACCATATCGCCAAACACGCCTAGTTCCGATAGGTTCCGGGTCGCTTGGAGAGTAGACTGATACGGACTTCACCAGACAGTGGTCGGAACTCCCTAGAAGAGACGAAATTACCACCTGGTAACGGTCCGGGTCTGTTGACAGCAGAAGGTCCAGGCAGTTTGGTGTGTGGCTATCAACCTTCACAAGCTGGGAGAGACCTAGCGACATAGCAAATGTGTGCGCTAATCTCCCGGCATGGTCGGTTATAACGTTAGTCGAATACCGAATAGTAACCGAATATTCGTTACAAGTCTAGTTTTGATTAAGACTTTATGCAGTATGCATTAGAGGTGGCTTTCAATGTTTAAATAATGCTTTATATCGTTTTTGACTACGCGATCTTCTTACGGAGCTACGTGGATCGTCCAATGGACGATCCAAACCTTTTGGACAGGTTTTGGGGACGATTTTGTTCGTGTTGGTGTATCTAGGGTATTTAATATCGTTGGACAGAACAAGAAAGAAAATACAATTAACCAAGTTATAACGTCCTTGCAAGAAACATAAACTTCCATACTAGGACATAATCTGTTTACTACTAGGATATCGCTCCGTTCAGGCACCCCGTGATTTAAATGTAACCTTACTGCAACAATTTGCATTGGTGATAATCATCATAATCAGATGTAGTAATCAGCCAATTATTATCTTTAACCACTGCTGTGGCACGGGCCTTCCCTATGGACAACATAGAGAGAATCAAAAAGTTAAGTGAAGCAATTCATGACCCACCTCGGATGGGTAGGTAACGAATGCAAACGTAACCAGGATCAACGGCTTTACGTGACTTTTCCTAAGAACGGCAGAGCTCGATAATAGGTTACCTACCTGTCAAATGATTGGCTATTGCAAAATTTGAGTATACTCAGAGATTGCAAAAGTTGAACTTCCACGATCGTAGACTGAATGCGCCAAGTACCTGCGCAATGAGCTCACTTAAACATTAACGAGTGAGTGGGATAATATTTTATTATGTTGCTGGTTATGGTTGCACGCGAAATCAAACACGAAACAAAACTCAAGACCACTTTTCGCGCACTTAGGATTTAGGACGATCGGGTTCGTTTGACGCCCTAATAATGGCGGGTTTCCACAGAAGCGAAACTGCGCGGGGTTTAACTGTGTAAATAGTTGAGTGTTTCCATTGAAGCTGCATAAAGCTGAATGGTGCAGAGCTGAGCTGAACCGAGGCTCTGAAGTAGAGATGAACGGAATGGAGCAGAGTGAAGATGAGTTCAGCGAAGCTGCGAACACGTTTTATTTGCAGTCATTAAAACAATAGGGTAGGTATAACAACTATTTGTGAAAAGTGTCTCAATTAAATTTTAAAGAGCTAATGGTGTTTATTCTCTAAACCCAAACTTAACAACAGTGTATCGCTGTCATTCTTTATACAGAACTAGTGGCTTGCCCTCGCTTTGCTTCGGTGAAGACTATAGTTTTTGTTCAAAGGCTTGTATTATACACAATGACTTTCTTCATAATAAATATAAACCTTCCATTCCAAGTAAAAGAATCGTTGCGTAGTTTAGAACCCGTTGTACTGAATGCAAAATTGCTCTGCTGTTCCGATTTGAAAAAATATTTTTGTATTGGACAGTGCATTTATCGAGGAAGGCTAATATAGGCCTTATATTACCAGGCTACGACCAGTAGCAGCGGAGCATCGATGAAAATTGTTGCAAGACGGGTAAAATATTCCATTTGCGAGATTCCGTGCGCTGGGTAAACGGTTAAAGTTACACAAAAATCATGTATGACGGAATTCTTCCCCTTTAAAAGTTCTGTAAAAAGTCCACGAGAACTTATGTCCATATTTTACTATAAACTTTTTCTTTAAATTAACGCGGGTGAAACCGCTCTAGTTGTGACATAAGGCGTTGAGCAGACGACGGGGCGGGGCGGGCATTTTGTCCGCGAAGCAATAAAGACAGCGTCTGCCCGTCGATGTCTGCGGCTGCCCGCGCCGCGTACACAAAGCACACGACGGGCAGAGGCGGTCAGTTCAGGACGTTCGTTCTAGTGAATAGTCCATCACTAATAAGCGCGAGGCGCGGACTGAGCTGACCGCCCCGCGCCGCCCGTCTGCGTTACTAAATATAAACTGGTTTGTATGATCCACGGCGAGCAGCCGCGGACATGCCGCGCCGCCACTGCCCGCCGGGCACCTGCGGCGCGGTCTTTTTGCCCTCTGTGTGCGTTTGAAGTATGGGATTCACTTTGTGCTATTATTCGCGGCGAAATTGACCGGCCCGCCACGCCCCGTCGTCTGCAAAGTGCCTAACTGTAGACATATGGTATCGTAAACTTTTTTTTATAGATATTGGTATTCTCTATAAGACTTTAGTACATCACTTTGCTCTCTTGCTCTCAATGACTTCGACAGCGTACGCGATATAAGGCTAGGAATTGGGTACATTAATCATCGAAGTTTTCACACGGAACCCTAATTTTTTGAAATACACTATAGCCTATATTAATCAGTAATAATGTAGCATTCAAATGGTGAAAGAATTTCTAAAATCGGTCAAGTACTTTTTGAGACAATTCGTTACAAACATACTTACATACAAACCGTTCCACTTTATAATATTAGTATAGATGAGTGGGAGAGACTGTTGTTAATTCTAAGCGGTGTGATGCACAGATTACTAAGTGGTGTGACGTATTCAGACGTAATAATGTGGCGGCTACTACGACTACTATTTCATCGTGTTTTAAAACATATTAAAAAACTGAATTGAATTTTAAAATGCATTTTGTTATAAAAGAAATCTGGTCGCTATAGCTCCATTCCGTCTGTTAAACTCGTTTTCGAAACATTGTATATATCAATATATGCACACACTCATCTCCGCCCCCTATATATACACATGTACTATGTTTAAACTTATGCAGTTGCATTCGATTCCCAATGAACAAAGACAAATGTTTTAAAACAGTTTAGTTGAAACTAATAACAAGTATCTCACAAAAGAATAGGGTTACAAATACCAAAAAATTATTTCGCACATACGACCTTTTATCTTTAATTGTTAACAACACAATAAATTATATCTGACACTTGGAAGAAAACGATAAAGGTGAAAAAAGGAAAATGTGAAATCAACCTTATGACCCATAAAATAAAATATTTTTACCAGTCATTGGCCAGCGAATTACTTCGTTTTGTATTAGCCGAACTAATTTAAAATTAAATCTCACGCCTCAAGTGAGGCTATATTTACCGAGACGGATTTTACGCGTGGGCCCGTTATGTATAAATGATATGTTATTTATGATGATTGAAGAAGCAAGTCAGTCCCAACTTAACACTGTATGTGTTGGTTTCGTATACTATGGAAACGCAGCTTGTGCGATTTTTTATTGCTCCCCCTCTTTTTTTCTGTTTAAAAATGCTTCTACTATTTTTTGTGGCCAAGCAGCAAGCACCACATTCTTCACACTGTGGGTCCCCATAGATAGAGAAAAAAAGGGCGTTCCCTATCCAACATTAAAACTACATTTTACTTACCTGCCCAGTTTTATTTATATCATAGATTCAGGTAATGAGACTAAATGATCTGGCGGGTGGGACATAATTCGTGGGGTATTGGTTGTCGATCGATGGACTTTGGATATCAAGTTATGTGGTGGATGTTATAAAACTACCGATAGTTATTTATTTTTTTACGTTTTGTATCGAAAACATACGTAGAGTATCAAGGTATAGGAAATTCGTGTTTAATATGACAACTAGCGGCCGCCCGCGAATTCATCCGCGTTACCTTTACTTTTTTGAGAATCCAGGAACCTAACATTTTTCCGGGACAAAAGTATCGTAATCTCCATCCAGATAATAACCTGATGAAAAGTATCGTATGTCTCAATCCAGGTTATAACCTGATAAAAAGTATAGTATATCTCAATCTAGGTAATAAACCATGTGGCTGCCATATTTCATCCAAATATATTCAGCCGAATACAAAATATACAACCGAACCGAAATATCTTTTGCGTGATTGAGTAATAAATATTAAAATTTTCACATTTAAAACATTAGTAGGATATATTATTATTATGGCAATATCTTGATTAAAGACACTATTGTCTTTGACAGTTCTTAAACAAAAACCATTTTAATGAAATTTTATTAAAACATACATTTTGAGAATAATTGAAATTCATTGAGTAAAGACAAAGACATAACATATAGAAAATCACATAATAGGCTAGTTGACACTTTTTGGGTATATGTTTTAAATGGTTAATAATTGTTCTATTAGACCGAAAAAAAATATTGTATTTTTTTGACCTAGAAAGCTACAAAACTTTTATTATAAAATAGATTTTTCATGGACATACAAAAATGTCGTCGGTCAAGTTAGTCTATAGATTTATCTATGCTATGACGTCAAAACATTTGTATACAAACACTCGCAAGCACGTTGGAAATAATTAATACAATAAAACCATGATTTCTAATGGATTACATAAAAAATATAGTAATTATCATGATTGTATTATACGAAAATGTACAATACCTACCTACACATGAACACAGTCATGTTTAAAACTTGCCAAATTCTGTAACGTTATCGACTGAAAGTAATTTCTTTTAGCAAAGATCACTTCGATGTACCTTATTGAATAATATTTAAAGTTAAAAATTCAATTTTTAAGATTACGAATGTATCTACTAAGTCAAAGAGTTTTGTCGTTTCTGCTGTCACAAATCCGGCGTCAAGCATAAATTTAGTCAAAAAAAACAATAAACGGAAACTTTTCTACAAGATATGTGTTTTTAGATATATTTTAGTCCGACTAAAGAATCCACAGTAACACGACAATGACGTTTAGTTGTTTACAAATTTTGTGACGTAACAATTATGATGGACAGCGTTTTTAGTGTTTAAAAAGCATAGACAAAAAACAAATTTTCAAATTAAATTACTACAGCCATCTTCTAATTTTATGAAGTGAAGTCAATGTATTTAGGTTCCTAATAACAAAAATTATAAGAAATAAACATTTGTATAGTACAATTTGACATGAGTCAACTAGCCTATTCTTATGAAGAACAATATTAATATAACGTCATAAAACTTCTAAATCATAGAGTATTCTACATTATAAAGTTAAATTAATTTACATTTACAACTTATAGGTTTTAAAAAGGCAAGTTATTGCCAGCTGGGCATCTTCAAAGTAACGGGGCTTATCGGCTCTCGTGATCCCGTAATCTGGTTCCAGTGCAGGATATGTTAAACTGCAATTGGCATTTGAACTGCAGATACTGTGATTAAACGACATATTGCTTGTGTTTGAAACAAACTTCGAAGTTTGTGATGTATTGAACTTGCTTCTTATTGCATTGGATGTCATTCTTTTCATTCTACCCACATTACTTCTGATAGACGTCAACATTTTGTGGTTTTCTGGCATTTGCAAAAATTCAGTCAAATCCTATGGAAGATTAACGTAAATTAGTTGAGTTTAAATGTATGCATTGAAAAAGTACTACTTGTAAAAGAAATACTCACATTCTTTACATCGTCGTATTTAGAAAACAACCAAATGTATGTTGTTAAAATACAAAATAGTTGAGTCTCACTATTACTGAACCTCCACATAAATTTCAGAATTGGCGGAATACGTTCTCTCTGAAAGAAATACAGAAATTAGGTACATATGCAGAAAAATAACAATCTATCGATCATCGACTGCGTCTTTTTTTTCCCGAGAAATTGAGCAAAGCCTGGAGGTAATAATGTGTATACATTTTTGTCGAGGCTTTAATCAATAGAATTTAACTGTGCTTTATACAAAGAATATTGCAAAGTTCAACTAAGACCTAACCAGTTTTATACACCCGAAAGCTGACTTAAATTATGGTCGTAGCTTATAGGAATCTGTATGTAGCAGTCGCATGTAACAAACTCCGCATAACATTCAATCATTGAAATAAACGGAGCCCTTTTGTATTACGAGGTCGGTGGAGTCACGTCATAAATACAGCTAATTTAAAAAAAACCCATATTAAAAGATCATAAGAAATAGTAATTGATTGTTAAAAAAAATACAACTGGTAACCTAACCTAACCCTTAGATTACCAATAAAATTATATATTTAGATGACCATTTAATTTTTTTCGAGGATCTTTTAAATATTTTCAATTTCAGAACAGAAGTCCAACTCACCGAATATATTTTAGGTCCAGTGATCCTGTACCTAGTTAAATTAACGAGAACAGAAGCTGCAGATTTGAGAACTTCTATGCTTGAAATTGATCTGTTCGTGACTGACATGTAGACGTAGACGCGACGGACAATGGAAGACGCATTGTTATTGTACATCATTGGAAATACTTCAGTCAGTAATTCTAAAAAAAATTGAAAGTTAATAGATTATTCGATAGTAGAGAGTCTGACCTTATCCAAAAAAGTCACGTAAAAAATATCTTAGCACGCAAGGAAATAATAAGAAAAAAATTTGTAATACAAAAAGAAACTTCACCTAATGATCTAAACGCCCTGATCACCATTTCAATATCTGACATGTGACGGAGTACTTCCATAGCTTCTTCGTTACGTTCCTTCAAAGACTCTTGTGTAGATTTCAGAGCCCCTTCACGCCATCTCCGACGGAGCTCAGTTACATGCTTGTCCCCCCTTATATTCATACGCGCTTTGTGACCTCGGAATAAAGCCTAGAAAAATGTAGATGTAAGCAAATAAAAAAATATAACGTGCCAAATAGGCATCAATATAAAATATATATAACGTTACCTGTATTTTCGAAGCCGCCCAGTACTGTTTCTTTTCCTCTCTAAGTTTTAAAATACTTTCTCTTTTCAGTAGTACTTGTTTTCTAGTCAAATATCCTCTGATATGCGCCTGTAATCTTATGACTGTTTCTCTCTTCTGCAAGAAATCGCAGCGCATCAATCTTGTCACTAGTATACCTTTCCAAAGTCTTTGTATAAATATAATTCTCCTTCTGTACTGATGAAACCATGACTGAACAAGGTATCGACGCACGTTCTTTTGTATGCAGATCGCCGATTTTTCCATCCTAGCCTTAAGGAGGTCACCTTGTTTCTTTAATCTATATGCTGCTTGTATGGTCAATACGGCTTTTCTCATTGTCAAGAACCTCTTTTTCGCAATATGACCGCGGATGGAAGCTTGTAATTTTATAATAGATCTTCTTGTGTAGACGTACTGTTGTCTCACCAATATCGTTAATTTCCAAGATCTATAAAATCTCTGTATGGTTATAGAAGCTTGCTTTAAACTAAGCAGTTTCTTCCGAAAAACGTACATGCGATATACTGACTGTATTTTAATGGCGCTGATTTTCATCTGTTTAAAGCGACTTCGGCATTCAATACGATTCTTATTGCACCTGTACCATATTTGAATTTTAGAAGCGGCTCTATTTTTACGAGCTTCAAGAGTCACTTTGTTAGCTCTAAATTTACGTTGAACAAAGAGCGTAGCACTTCTTAGATTCAAATACCTATTATGAATCGATCTTGTTTCCCTTACGCGTCTATAATATCTTTGAATGAATATTGCAGCAGATTTCATTCCCTTATATTCAACCATATATTTCTGACGTAAACACTTAGATCGGTATGCATTTTGAATAATAATGCATGCTTTTAAAAGATCTAAATACTTTGATCGTTCTTTTAACATGAGACAGCGAGCTCTGTATCGCCGTTGCAAAGTTATTGTAGCTTTTTGTAATTGCAAATAAGAAATTCTTTCTTTTCGCATCACTAACAACGCTCTGTATCTCTGTTGTAATATAACACATGACCGCTTCAGCTCAATGTATTCTTCTCTTTGCTTTTTACCTGTTTTATAAGCTCGATAATAAGTCTGGATAACCACGCAGGCCTTCAAAACCGACAAATAATTGTTTCTTTCCTGAATCATCAACATGCGTGCTCTAAAAGCTTTCTGAATAACCAAGGCGGAATCGCGTAATTTTATGTAGGAATTTCTTTGCTTCCTCATTGCCAGCAACGCTTTGAATTTGTTTTGTATGGAAATAGTTACTTTCTTTAACTGTAAAAACTTATCTCGATCGCGTCTCATGCAACATTTACTTCGGTACTGATTCTGTATAAAAATCGTCGACTTGCGGAGTTGACAATATTGTTTTCTAATTAATTTAGCTTCTTTGTAACGTTTGTAATAGTTTTCAATGAGACATACTGATGCTTTTATTTTTAAGTAATATAATTGGTCTTTTTTCATTTCTAAGTATGACTTGTAGAACCTTTGAATAGTAATTGTAGCAGTCTTGAGTCGTAGGTATTTCTGTCTCAAAATTTTCATTTCAACATAGGATCGATAATATGTCTGTATACGTACAACTGAAGTTCTTATACGCAAGTATTCTTGTCTCTGTTTTCGCCCAATATAGTAGGCCCTAAACGTTCTTTGTATAATAGTACACGCTTTCTTAGATTGTTGATATTGTTGTTGTATTGTATTAGCAGTACGGCAATTTCTGAACCAGTTTTGTATTTTAATTGCGGCTTCTTTTTTCTGTAAGTAACGTTTTCTTTCCAGCTTAGCAGCAATTCGGGCTCTATATTTCTTTTGAATATTCACGCAAGCAAACTTTAATTTTAAGTAATAGGACTTCTCTTTCCGCATTTGCACTAGTGCTTTGAATCTTTGTCCAATTACAATAGCAGCAAAACGTAATCTTTCATACGAGAGTTTGAGCTTTTTCATTGAAACGTGAGCTCTGTAATATCTCTGAATAGATATAGCAGCACTTTTCTGCCTTAAAAATGCGGCTCTTTGTTGACGCATCAGAGTTAAAGCTCTATATCGCCTTTGAATTATTAAAACGGAATTTCGCATTTCGATATAAGATTTTCTCAGAGATCTCGAATGAATATATGAGCGGTAATAACTTTGGATAAGCAAAATAGCGTTACGTTTTCTCATATAAGAGTTTCTGATACATTTCATAATCATATACGATCTTAAGCGCGACTGAATAATACAGGTAGCACTTTTCAATTTCAAAAAGTTTTCTCTGTCTCTTTTCATGAGTTGGTGTGCTCTAATTCTTATCTGTAATTGAATAATGATTTCTCTTTGTCGTATATACTGAATTCGTGCTTTCCTACGTCGATATAAAGATTGTACTATAACAACACTATTTTTAAATCTTAAATAATTGTTTTGTTCACATCTCATTTTTATAAGAGCTCGATACCGAGTTTGAATAGTACTTACTGCTTGTTTTAATTTTCTGAAGTTTCTTAAGTCTCTCCACATTCTATAAGATTTCTGAATGAACACCACACTCCTCTTTTTCTCGGCCAACCTATTCATTTCTACTTTCATTAACAACTTGCTTCTGTAGTTTTGTTGAATCATAATTATATATTTTTTTAAGAGCAGAAACTTATTTCTAACCACAAATCTCCGAACTAGAGACTGCACCAGTATTACTTTCTTTAAAGTTGTTCTGTATTGTTTTGTACATAGCCATCGGCGTACATAGCTTTGAATCACTGTTGCCGATTTTTGTCTCAATTCCTCACGTGCGATTCTTAAATTATTCAGATCACTTTTTGCTTCTTGAATCATTTTCATGGAGATAAACCACTCTTCAATCTTTAATACACTCTTTTTCATATTAAGATATAGTCTTCGGAGTAACCATTTGCGAATATATTTCTGTATCACAATAGTTGCTTTCGTGACTTGTTGCATTTGCCACTCAACAATGCGGTCGTATTGTATTCTACGCCACCAGTGTTGTATGACAGTTGCGGCACTACTCAATCGTTCTTTCAATTTCTCTTCTTCTTTCCGTTTCTCAACGATGACTTGATATTTCTTTTTCCACCAGATTTGAATCAAATTAGCCGCTTTTTCAAATAATGGTGCCCGGAAAACGTGTATCAGTTGCCATAAAAGCGACAATGTTTTCTCTCTATGGCCATCTGCTATGTCGTTAGCAGTTATATCACCAACAATCACAAAGTTAGCTTCTTTTAAAGCATTTAGTGCTACTTGTACATTGTGTATTTTTTGTAGTCGCGAAATTGCGGGGGTTCGCAATTGATGCAATAAACCATTTTTCATCAAAATTATCTCCATAACTTTAGATAATCGTACACCATCTCTTAGATCAATGGCAATATTATTAACAGCATATTTATATTCATCTAAATAAGACTGTTGATGGCAAACGATGTAACCAAGAGGACGTAAATGTTTTGTGATATCACCTATACCCGCAATGAGTTCCCGTGTGAATCGTATAAGAACTTCTCTACTTTCCTTACATACGGCATTCCTGCAGAATAAGCAAGGATCATGAGATATGAGTTTCCTTTGCTTAGCTTGATCCAGAAAAAAGACAAGCATGAAAAATTTTTTCAGGGTAAATTTCTTAATAGCTTCCATATAAGCAGGTAAAAGCATATTGGGAACATTAGATTTGGAACGTTTATTTTTTAAGAAGGGGTTCTTGAACATTCTTTGAATGATAAATGTTGTAAGTCCTTCAACGTCACTGTTTGACTTCAAAGGTAAAGTAATTCCATAAATGGCCTCTAATCCGATACGTAGCCAAAGTGGATTGTAAGATAGTAATAACTCCATGATAATTTTTTGAAGACCAACATCCAAGTGAAGATTCCTATCATTTCGAATAGCTATCAGTTTCCTCTCTATTTGAGTATTTAATTTTTCAAAGACTTGGGCGATTTCAGGGCTCTTCAACAATGACCTTGCTGCTCGGCGAAGACTTTCTAGTCTATGACTATTATGGTAAACACTACAAACTTGCTCCTTTGTAGGGGCCAAGGGAACTTCTTTGTTGCGATTTTCTAGCCATGCTTTACCGACATCGATTTTCTGTTCGATGTTACTTTCTAAGTCAGCTGGAGGTGTCAGCATGCAATTAAGCCACCTTTTAAACTCGTTCTCAAACTTAAATACGGCTTCTTCATCATAGAAATACGTCGTAGAAAGGAAAGGATCTACAGTAAACGACTGGGAATATACGTTTCCTATATGATTTACGAATGACATGTTTTGGTTAGTGCTTGTATTAGCATCAAATGTAGTGCTCGATACTTTGCTAATGTCTGAATCTCGACCTTTAACACTTACTTTAGGTTTTAGTGTTTTTTTTGCAAAAGACGTCGGTATTTTCCATAACTCCGGTTCAGCTCGTACGGATTTTTTTGACCAAGTTTTTTTATTTTTAGTTGATATTGAAGATCTCTCTGAATAATCTCTATCAAAGGTTCGATTTATAGTAAAAGTCGACATTTTATCACTTTTATCTAGTAACTGAGTATCGGAATTTTGTGTACTTTCCTCGGGGATCGACTGGAGAGGTGTTGGTGAATTTGGTCGTGACGGAGATTTTACGTCATTTTTTATTTCATTGTGCCAGTTATTTAACTCGTGAGATTGCATTAGATTTCGATCGCGAGTCTCTCTATGTTGATAATTTTCTTTGAATAACGCTTGTCTACACATTTTTGGCTGCTGTTCTCTCATAAAATAATATGGCGGTTTAGATTCTACAGTGTACATTTGGAAATTTACTGGTGTATTGGGAGAGTCTTTGGTGTAAGTATCAGAACTTAATTTAGCATTGGCTTCGTCTAGGTCATGTGTATCATTGTTAATTCTTGGTAGAACTTTCCTCTCAGTAGAGAATCTATGAGGAAGGAAAGATAGGTCACTAATACGTGAAAATTCTGTATTAATGGAGAAATTTGGGCTATTTAATTCTTTAGGAGATGATGTGTTGGGTATCTTTTTGTTTACTACTGCAGGCATTTCTATATACTGTTTTTCAGTTTCGTGGTGGTGGTTAATTGTCAACCATTTAATCGGAGGCTGAGTTGATGTAATGCTAATTATAGAATGAGTTTCATTTTCTTTATTAGAATTTCTCATATTTAAGCTGTCGTCAAATTCATTGTCAGAATTCATGCTCATTATTATTTTTGGACCTTTATCTAATTTCTCATTCTTAGCTGGATTCATTTTCAGTGGTGTAAATGTAAGATTATCAAATAAATCAGAACCCGAAATGTTGAATGTTTGTTTATTGACTGGCTTTAATATATTATGTTGGGTTTGTGTTTTATCATGATATGTTTTATCATAAGTCTGTTGTAGGTAAGTTTCAGATTTAAGTTGCCTCATGTTTGCGAAAATTTCACTTGTATCGAAATTGAAGTCAACACTAGTCTGAGAGTCAAAAGGACATTTATCAAATTGTGAATTTATCGAATAATCATTGACAGTCATGATGTTTTCTTTGTTGGAAGGTTTTAAAATATGTTTTGTTGTTGAAAAAGATTTAACTGTTGAACATTTTGTTGAATTGTATATAATCTCAGCTTTCTTTTTATATACTGCAACAGGTGACCTTTTTGATGCCTTCTTTATAACTTTGCCTGGAGATATCTTGACACCTTTAGGTTGATTTCCTTTTCCTTTACCATTCTATAAGAAAAGAAATTAAAAAAAAATATATAATTTTGACTTTTATAATATAATAATTTAAAAGACAAAACTTCTGTTTTGTTCTTGCGATGATGCTTGGTTCGCGGAAGATATCAGATTTTTAACCTCCTATATGGCTCCTTGTTTCGAATATGAAACATTTGTTTTTGAATACACTTACAGACACATCTATCGGCCAACCCAGCATTACAAGCTTCTACGGTATGTAGCAAAAATATATGTTAGGTAATAATATATTTTTAAAAACACGAAAAAGATAGTTAAGAAATCAGCTTCAAAACGTAGTAAAAACTTTTAAGTTAATGTATCTTACATTTATTTTTACATGGGGACAGTCACTCTGATGTATCTGGGAGTGTAAAATCCGAAAGTCAAAAATTCAAATCCTAAATAGTTTAGAGATAACATTACACATGCAATATTATAAGACTATAGTCGCGGTAGGCTATGATGGTTTTGACACATTACAATAGTGCCGTGAAAAGTCAATTTGTTACCGAAATAAAATCTTTTATAATCAAGGATATTTTTGGAATTTTAACTATTATTGCAAGAAGTAGCTTATTAAAAAGATTGAATAAAACAAACATATAAATGTTTTCTTACGCTCAAAAAGACAATGTTTATGATATTATTTTCGATAAAAAATTTGTAATACACAAATGCTGAGTTATAAAGGTAAACAACCATGTACTGTGTATATACTATAACAATAATATTATTTAATTTTAATAAAGTTCTTAGTGATAATAATAATAATACAAATAAATTAATTTAATTTACTTGATCCTTTTAAAGATTCTGGCCAGTGTATTTATGAAAAAAAAAATGATATTATATTTAATTGTTGTAAACATGAAAAACGTTTTCGGAATCTTAATAATTATATAGGGTGAAATTGAATGTTTTAATGAAACTTCGTGAGATTGTTGGGTTACGTGAAAAGAGTATGCCTGATTTTTTTCGGATTTTTTTGAAGTATTTTTTTTCATGTTTTTATTTATAATTTGTGTATTTTTATGTCATTTCCTCCTTTTGAGTAGTTATTCATTTTAAACAAACAAACTTACATATCCAGTGAAAAATAACTAATAAATAAGTACTTCAAAAAAATGGAAAAACATTAAAATTCCACGGCGGGTCAACGACCGACCGCGCCCGCCAGCCGTTGAGTGAGTACGTACCTCTACACAGAGTTCAGTTGACTCCTTTGATTCCACACAATACAATAAAGTCGTCTTAGATACCTTTATTGAAATAATAAGCACAAATGACTCTTCTCTTAAGCGGAGAAAAACTTTAAAAGTTAATAATAATTTTGTCACGATTAGAAATAGGCAAATGTTAAACAAAAAGAAATACTTGTTGCAGTTCAATACTTGTGTGAAATTTATAACCCGGTATTCAAAAGTACTTACGAGACCGATGTACCTATTCATTTTTTTCACTTAAACTTCCCGTATACACTTTGTAAACACAATCAATCACCAAACCTACTTTCGTAAAGCCTTGTGGCTCTGCTGAGTATACCGTGACACTACAATAACAACACACCATATCCAACTTCTTATATTGAGGCCACAGAACAAGAACTAATCATGGCATTATTTGCAAATCTTCTCTTGTCCCAAATTTAAAAGATACGCACGCGCGGTGGATAAACTTGACACTGCGCTCGCTCACTGCGCTTTGCACCGTGCATAGGTAGGTATTCAACCGATTCTGTTTTTACGTTTTTTTAGTAGTGCTAATTAGTTGTTTTTTACTTACAATGTATGAGTGTTTAAAAAGAATAATTATTTAGTACCCAAAAGGAGATTAAAATATAACAAAAAAAAAACGAAATTTTATTTTAAATCATTTTTAAAAAATCCGAAAAAATTCAGAGATACTTTATATACGTAACCCAATAATCCCACGAAGTTTCATTGAAACATTCAATTTCACCCTGTATATTTAGTTAGAACATAAAAAAAAACAAAAAAGTTTCGTAAAAATTTAGTTCTTACACCCTTAAACTACCAATCCAATAAATCTTATGACTAAATGCGCATAGCTCTAATAACAATGAAGTAAAATAATTATTTCTCTAAAATTTAGATCAAAGTTCTAGTATGAGTACAAATTCATGGGCGCACAATCGTCAAAACTGATCATAACATGCTGCTACTATAGTGATCCACCACAACTTTACAGAGGTGAACTACACTCGGCGTCAAAAAAATCGCAACTTTTAGAAAATCACTTTCAAATGTCATTAACTCTTAATATGCACATGTAGTCACATTAATAATGATTTTATTTAAAAGGTTACTTAATTGACTTAATAAAAACATTACTTTTCATAATCAAATAAAACCTAGTGCAACAAAATAATAAAGTGTCACAAAATTCGATGCAAATTTTGCTACCGTGAGAGTCGCTGGTTGCGCTTCCTTGTGTGGGTATAAAACGGTCCACACGGGGTCAATGTGGGTCATTCGTTATTCAACCGTTGAAGAAGACACACGCAGAGATTTTACTGAAGAAAAATCACCTCGAATATGGTTACCACAGCTGATGAAGCCGCTCAAGTGGTTGCACTACTGCAATCAGGGATGCGGCAGTGTGATGTTGCCCGGCAAACTGAACTGGATAGAGACTGGTGGCTATATCCGGAGACATGGGTCCGGTAGACGTCGCTGCACTTCAGAAAGGGACGACCGGTTCATTCTGTCGAACTCTTTGAGAAATCGTTTCTCTAACGCTGTTGCATTGCAACAGCAGCTTCAGGCAGTTCGTAGACGCACCGTGAGCGTCTTTACGGTTAGAAGGAGACTGAAGGAGAAAAAGATGGGCCGCTATCGACAGAGCTGCTACTGGCCCGCAATTGACAGCAACGCATCGGCGAGCCCGCTTACCGTTTGCTCGTGACCACGTCGATTAGACCCTTGAGCAGTGGAAAGCTAATCTCTTCTCAGACGAGACGCGAGTGTGCATTTTTGCACCGACCGACGGAAAAGAGTATACCGGAGGTAGGGTGAACGTTTTGCGGAAGCCTGCATCCAGGAGACAGTAGAATATGGGGGCGGATCTTGCATGTTCTGGGGCGGTATATCGGTTGCCGGCAAAACCAACCTTGTTTGCGTCTCCCGGACTGGAAGTGCTCGCGGACAAGGGTCGCTGACTGCTCGCCGCTATGGCATAAGGATCCTGGAAGTGCATGTGGCCCCTTTTGCCGAATCTTTTGACGAGGAGTTCACATTAATGCACGACAACGGCCGCGCTCACATTGCAGCTACCGTGAGTGACTTCTTACAGAGGTCCCAAATCTCTGTGTGTTATGAGGTGACCAGCGAGAAGTCCGGACCTGAATCCGATAGAGCACCTCTGGGATTATCTTAAACGCAAGGTTCGATCTCGGGATCCAGGTCCTTCGATTCTACAGGAGCTCCAAGACGCGGTGATTGAAGTATGGGGGCTTATTTATCCCTCAAGAAGACTCCTGAAGTTGGTCAGGTCCATTAGGGATTGTATGGAAGCTGTTATCAGGGCTAGGGGGGGTAACACTAGATTTTAAGTTAATTTTAAGATACTTTTTGTACATTTTTCTTTGTAAATTACCTGTTGTTAATTAGGACTTAAGTAAGGATTTTTATTATTTTTTTAATTTTAATTGAAACAATTGAAACAAAAAGGTATGTGGCTCAGCATGTGACAGTCAAGTTTTGACTTGTCGCTGGTATTCTGCCACCACCTCACAATTATTATTTTCTAAAAAACACATTAATAAGGACAATATCAGCAAGTCGAGACAATAATTTAGTTATTAATTACTACAACAATTAAACAGCACTTTTTTTTTTAGTTTTAGTTATTACGTTATATTTTTGAAGGTTTAATGATATATTATGTTATGACATTAATTCATAAAAGTTTTCTCATCTGTGTCGTTACTGATTAAACAGCATCATATTTTGTACTTGCCGCCTCGTGTTGTTGTTCAAGGAACCACCGTTTACACCTTTGCTTAAAACTGCTTTCGGATATTATAAGACTTTGCCGCAAAGGAGGAGGCAAGTCATTCCATATTTTCGAAGCGGCAAATACAAAACGTCCCCTAGCAACAGCATTTCTAAACAAAGGCAGAGACAGACGCAGGCCAGTGTCCCTCAAATTACTACCACGAGTCCTCCATTTTAACTTACTAGCCAAATATTCCGGTTTATTTATTTTCAGCAAGGAATACAAAAAACAAACATATTTCAAATCCCTTACTCCGCCCATATTCAGAACCCCGTTACGCACTAAGTGGGGAGTAATATGATCCCTCTTTTTTATTGGAAAGCAAAATCGCATGCAAGCATTCTGTACCCTCTGAATTTGCTGCTTAGTCTTTGCAAGCAAACACGGACCATATACAATATCACAATATTGTAGGTGCGATAAAACTAAGGAGTTACATAGTTGTAATTTAACATTTGTACATAAAAATCGATTCAGTTTATACAGAGTCTGGAGCGACCCAAAACAATGACCAACCTTTCGCCCAACATGATTCTCGAACCTAAGATTTTCATCCATGTACAGACCCAGATTCCGAACACAGCTTTCCCGGGGTATAGGCACATTGTTTAAACTTACGCTTACTTGTACACTTTTGATAGATTCCACTTGATTTTTAGTACCTAAAATAATTTGGACACTTTTGGTTGGGTTTAGCATTAGACAGTGCCTATTAGACCACTCGGCGATGGCCTGAAGATCCCTATTTAGTTGACTCACGGCCGACGACACACCGCTCACAGTAGGGTTGGTGTGAACATAAAGCTGTGTGTCGTCTGCATAAAGGTGATACCGACAATTAGCAATAACTTCAGTGATACTAGATGTATATAATGCAAACAGCGTAGGACCGGATATGGAACCTTGAATCACCCCCCTTGTGATAGCCATCGGATCTGATATCTCGAACCCGCCGTCATTTTTTACACATCGTACCATGTGTGAGCGACCTGACAAGTAAGAATCAAACCAGCTACAAGCAACGTCACCAAATCCAAAGTACCTAAGCTTGGCCAACAATAGTTCCAAATTTACCGAATCAAATGCACGGCTGAAATCCAGTAATACCATTATGGTATCCAAACCGTGATCAGATGCAGAAAGAATGTCATCTGTTATATTCAGTAACGCTGTGCATGTACTATATTTTGAGCGAAATCCCGATTGAAAACTTGGTAATATATCTTCCTTCTCAATGAATTTGTTTATTTGCGTCAAAGCACACTTTTCAACTATTTTAGAAATGGCCGGAAGTATGCTTATAGGCCGCAAATCATCGACACACTCAACTTTTGTCTTTTTTGGAATGGGAGTAATCAATGCACATTTCCAATCATCGGCAAAGACGCCATCTTGCAATGATTTATTTACTATGGAAGATAAAGCAATCATAGAGTACGGCAGTGTTAACTGTATCATGCACATCGATATACCGTCACATCCCCGAGAGTTGGAAGACATTTTAGCGACGATATTTTCTATTTCCGATTCACTGACACGGAGAAATTCAAACACATTGCTCGTGCGCCGGCAAGATTTAAACCTATTCAACTCGTCATTATCTCCTGGTACTAATGGTATAGAATCTGAAAAATGTTTGTTGAGTGCATTTGCATCGTTTAGATGAACGGGGATTGAATTTTCTTGATTAGGTTTAAATATATTGTTTATATGTCTCCACATAATACCAGGCTTATTTTGATTTTTATTAACAAATTGATTGAAATATGCTCGCTTTTCTTGTGCTATTGCAAAGTTATAATAATTACGAATAGTACGGTAATACTGTTTAGCCGAATCCGATTTTAATATTTTAGCTTTTGTACATGCACGATCGCGTTCCTTTTTTACTCTACGAAGTACATCAGTCATCCAAGGGCAAGGTGGACGGTTAACTCTAAAAGTACGTTCAGGAGCGAATGTATCAAAAAGATCTAGAATGAGTATATTAAACATCGACACCATATCATTAATATTACTGTACAAAGTTACGAATTCCCATGGAGTATACTCGGCAGCTGCATTTATCTCTGCTTTGTTACTATTGATGGATCTGGAGGTTATGAACCGTGGTTTGAGTTTTTCTATTTCTATGGGAAATTCGGCTATTACCAATCCATGATCACTCAGATCATCGTTATGAATGACTGTTATACTTCGAGGTCTTAACGAGTTACGAGTTAATATTAGATCAATTAGTGATTCCGAGTTGTGCGTTATCCGTGTCGGTTGGTTAACCACCTGCACGAGCTTATATGAATCTACAAGATCCATCAAGCAAGATGGTAATATAATGTCATGATTAGTTTCGATACAGTTAATGTTAAGGTCGCCCACCAAAAATAAGAACTCGTGTTGGGGAGCAAACAAAGACAACGAATTAGCCAAACATTGAACAGCTATGTTACGGCTGATTTTCTCTGGACGATAAGCTATTCCTACCATAATCCTATGATTTTTCACACTCACAGACATCCACTGCTGCTCGAGTTCTCCCACCGGGTGTTGTAAGACTTTAACACGCAATTTTCCCCTAATATACGCACCGACTCCACCACCCCTAGAATTACGAGGTTTATGCAAAAATTTGTACCCCGGGATAGCAAGGTGTCTGGTATTTGAATCATGTTTAAGCCAAGTCTCAGTTAAACATATAATATCAAAGTCATGAGTTATAATTGACTCCTTTAAATCATCCCACCCAGTATTTATAGAGCGAACATTCAATAAGCCAATCTTCAAATTAGTTACATTATGCTTAGTTCTTACATTAGCCATTTTTATAGAAATTTATTACAAAGTCATGAACCAAAATTACATAGTAATATCTAATACGAGATCAAGACAAACTATTAAGAACATCTACATTACGCACATAAACATGATTGTCCTCTTCCGTTTTCCTAACAAATATTTTTCCGTTGCGGATCCAGATAAACTTGTAACCCAGTTCCTTCGCTCGGATGCGTGTAGAAGCATGTAGCTGTTTGTTTTCCAATGATAAATGTTCTGATATGAAAATCGCAGTTCTTTTACCAGCTATCCCCAAATGAGAGCTATTCAAACGGTCTTCAGCTTGCTTCTTTTTATTAAATTGAATGGCAGATTTCAAAAAGTCCTCCCGCTTTTTTTGTTTACTGAATTTTACTAAAATGCTTCTAGGGCGAGTGCTCTTAGAGTCCATCTTAGCTATACGCGAACAGTACTGAATATCGGATTTATCTGCTTGGCAGTCTATGATTTTACCTAGTTGATGTACAACTGAAGTAAGATTTTCTTGCTTATTCTCCGGGACGCAGTGTATCTCAAGGTTTGCAGCACGTAGTTGTTGGTCCAAAATCCTCACCTTAGTCTGTACCTCTAGATTGGATGCTTTCAACTGTTCATTCTCTCTCCTAACCATTTCAGTCCGATCCTTTTGTGCAGTACATTCAGCTTTTAGATGCTCAAACTCCTTATTAAAGAAAGTCAGGGATTCCTGAAAATCCTGAATCAGTCCCTTCATTTCACGTAGTTGTGCTTTGTTCTCTTCATAAAGCCGTTCCATCGATAATTGTAGTTCCGATCTCATAACTTTCCTTATATCATCCATAGATACACAGGAACATGTAGTCTTAATACGATGGGTTACATTGGTTCCCTCGTCGTCAGATATGACAACTCCCTCTCGTACAACCCCCCAAACAGGTGTGTTAGTATTGTCACCTTTAGGACGACGAGATCGGCATAGATCACAGCTCCAGGTATCCTTGTTCTCATTAGTCATTAAAAGAAATCTCTTTTCTGAGACATTAGCGCATTCCAGATCATATATTTGCTTACACAAATAACATTTAATGAAACGCCTGTCAGATATAAGGTTCGGACATGCGCAACATTTCTGATTCTTCCCTTTGCGCTCCATAGTTATGAAATTCAGAGGCAAGTAAAATAAAAAAAAAATATTTAAATATAAAAAAACCAAAAAAGCACGAAATGATGATTTGTAGGCGCCGAGGCTCGAACCGAAGACTTGATGAGTACTTGGCAGTAGTAATACTGCCGGCGCTATCGGTTGACTGACGAATTGTGTCGAAATAAGGAATCCGAAACTCCAAAGACAAAATGTTAATAAATTTGTTGGTTGAAATGGATCTTTACTTATAAGCTTGCCCTCTCACAAAGATTGTGCAACACAATTCACGATAATATTTTGTATTATATTACTGGTAAATCCGCACAGAATGGACTGGAAATGTACACACACACACTTCTTCTCTTGTACTTTAAACTGACACTACTTTCTAACTGTAAGGAATGCTTTTTTAATACTTTAAGATTTTTTAACTGAACAGAGATTTATTCGCGTCTGACTTAGCTGAGCTTGCCGCTTTATCTCTGTAATGTTGTTTGTATATTTTTAATTAACTAAAAAGTTAAATTTAATGGTTTTTTGATTCTCCTTTTTGTTACCTTTCTAATACACAACACTATTCTCTCAATAAGGTTTAAGATTTTTTGAAGAAGATTTTTAAAAGGTGTGATTTTTTTGACACCAAGTATCTCAATAAAATATAGCCTGTGTTAGTCAAGGATTATGTAGCATTCCCATAGTAAAATAATGTTTAAAATCGGTACAACACTAAAAATCATATTATTTATTTTTTAAGCATTTTACTGCTAGATGTTCAATCTAAAGAAAATGTTCCAGGTAAAAACCAGTCACCAGATGGCACTCAAACCTGCACTCTTTGCAGTTTGAGTCTCATCTGCTACCTGGTCCGTGGGGATTTTTTTCTGGTAAAATTTTCTTTATCTTTCCTTTTTATAATATTAATTAAGTTGAGCTAAATAAACAGTTATTTAATCAATAAAAATTGTTTCACAATATCATAACCTGCCCTCTGTCAACAGTGGAAAAAGTGAAATGAGGAACAGAGAAAAAGAGGAACAGCACTATGATCCCAAAGGATTAGGATGGCCATCTGCCAGCACCATTTAATGTGTCAGCTAAAACAAGTTGTTTTGCTTTTTTTTGTTATCCAGCAAAAAAACTGTGCCTTTTTTATCTGCACTGTGGGCAGCTTTTGCAGGACAGAAGTAGAAAAATATTGTCTGGCTGATAGACACAAATGAGAGGTCTATTTCAGCCACAGATCCAGCTATTTATTTTAGAAGATATTATTGTTGCCTCATTTTGTGGCTTATAAAAAAAAATACATACCAATTCTGTTTTGAGTACCACAATGACATCATATCGACCACGACTTTCATTGGTGAACCGTATTGTATCCCGTATGGCAGTAGGTTGTATCGGTGTCCATAACAGTGTTAAACAATAACATGTCTCTGGTTCCAATACCAGCCAATCATCCGCTAGATGTATTATGAGACCAGCTGGCAGACTGCGACCTAAAGTTATCTGAAACCAAATATATTATACAGGATAATATAAGACAGGTAAGGTATAGTAGAATGTTAACTCCAATGGGTGGGAACCCTTAAAATAGGTGTCAAGTGTAGTGGCAGTGTTAGGGAATTTTATTTAGACTGAAAAAGTTGAGTTTCTCATTGAACAATCTTAAAATTATTGATATAAAATAAATAAATACTAAATATTTTCAAAACTCACACCAATTAGCCTAGTCCCAAAGTAAGCACTGTAAGACTTGTGTTATAGGATTGTAGGGTAATGGATATAATACATATACTGTACATTTAAAAATATATTTATATTATACAGAAATACATATAACACATACATGACTGGAGTAAAAATGCTCGTATTCATCACATAAACATCTGCCCCCACTGGGATTCGAACCCGGAACCGCTTGAGTCAGCAACACCATGAAACCTGGCATACAAACCACCCGGCCACAGAGGTCATCAAAGTGGTAAGTAAGCTCAAAAGTAGTATGGGAAATTGTTGCAAAGGATAAAATCAAATTCATTGTGCCTAACAAGGTCATGTTACACCATTAATAAGCAAGTACAGAATACAGATGATTCTAGTCATAAGCACCCACCATTGGTTATGCCTGTGCTCCTAATGTAATTCTTTCCATAAATATATACATCTGTTGATGATGAATGAAAAATCATTAGTTTGACTAGGTAATTATTTTTAATAAGGCAAACAATATTCAGTACAGTATCAAGTGCCTACAAACAGACTATCAGAATACAGACCTATTTCTAGATACAAACTAACCCCAGTAAAAATTTACCAATATTCTTGGCATCTATTCATCTATAGAAACAGCATAATATCAAAAACAATAATAATAAAATAATATTACCTGCTGTATTTGTTTGGACGGATTAAATACTTCTAAAGTTCTTTCGCAAGAAGTTCCAATGCGAACATTTTCAAACACCACTTGTGGCGGTCTCGAAAAAGGTGCCAGAATAAGTCGGGGGCGCTCTTCCTTTGGAGACTTCTTTTGAACGGTTGCAGTTCGTCTAGATTTTCGTATATGCTCCGGGGTATTTTCAATCTGAATATGAAAAACAGTATTTGTAACGATTTGAATTATGTTGTGAAATATAGGTAATTTTATTCAAGTATGTATACAAAAATATTTGTAATAATACCTCATAATACATTGCTCTGTTTTAGCACAAACATTTAAAAACACTAACAACAATACTCAATAACTAAATCTTAAATTTAAACTATATTTACGTCAATTACCAAAGAACACATAAAATTACAAGTAGAGATTAATTCAGAATCCCAGTTTCAGTTAGAAGTTGGCAAGTTGGGTAGCCAAAGAATTTCAAATTGAAGAAAGAAACCGTCAATCAGTGTTGCCATATTTTTTTATTATTATGTTTTACGATTATAGTCCTTTTTAAGACAAACGTTGAACAAGTGCTGCCATCACGTATGACAGAGTTGCCGTATTCGATACATCAGATTGCCGTATTTTTAAATAAAAATAATGATATTGGTGTCAATTCTGGCATGATTCCCTAAACTTAAAACTAAATAAAAAATCAGTCTATCCTTTTCATTCTGTATAGTGATTGATCAGGATATACTGTTGTCAAATTTAAGTTTAGGTTTAGAGAATCTTGCCAGAATCGACGCCATTGCCGTATTAATTAATTTTATTGGACCGAAGTTCCTTACGGCAGGCTTGGAGGGGATAGGGATTTTGCTGCGCGACCGAACTGAAAAACATGTGATAGTAAAACCGTAAGAAAAAATCCGTGGAAAAAAGTGCGTGCAATAAAACCGTTAAATGAGACGTGCGCAGGCGCGACAGTCGCATACACAAGCGAGTTTGCAATTTGTGTCAATTCTACATTAGCCGAAGGAACTTCGTTCCTACCTGGTGTCCCACGACACCAAATCATATTTATTTTTTCTATAAAAATTTATAGGTGCTTAGTGGTGTCAATTCTGACACGATTCTCTAAACCTAAACTTAAATTTGACAATTGCATATGCATAAACAGTATAAGGTTTGCAATTTGCAGTGTTGGCAGGCCCCCCACAAGGTGGACCATCGATCTGGTAAAGGTCGCGGGAAGCCGCTGGATGCGGGCAGCATGGGACCGATCGTTGTGGAAATCCATGGGGGAGGCTTATGTCCAACAGTGGACGTCTTTCGGCTGAAATGATGATGATGATGATGAAACAGTATAAAAGGGCTGTAAATAGAGGTGCAAAAGTAACGAAAAAAAGCGTACCCATATGTATTCGTTACTTTAACAATTAGTACTCGTTACTATAGTATCGTTACGTTACTCGTTACTTCTCATAAAAAAATCGGTTTTACTATTTTGAAATTTTTAACCGTGAGCTTATGTTATATCACAATAACATCGCAATACCATTATTCATCAATTAAAATGATAAAGCAACAAATAGGTGTCGAAAATTATTGTATTGATAATAATACATAAATAGCATTCTAACGATAAATCAATATAAAAATAGTTTTGCTTAGAATGAAATTCTAATCTTTTGTTCTGAAAATATCTTTATATTTATAATTTTTATAAAAAAAATAAAAATATTTTAAACGAAATCTATCAAGTTGGTTTTTTCGATAAGCTTCTGTGAGGTAGTCAAGACGACAATAAAGTTCTTGGCTCATCTTTCCATTAGTTGTGGTTGAGTAGCGAGTTAAGATTTTTGTCACGGAAAGTATTAATTATTAGGAACACACACACGAAATCTTTTTATTCGAAAACGAATAGAACTCGAGAAAAAAAAAATTGAAAATTAATATTTTTGTAGGTTAAAGTCAATTTTGACAGCCATTTTGATCAGTGCTGCCATTTTTTCATGCAGAAATAACATGTTTCTCGTTGTCTATGGTAAAAAATATGTTGATTATGTTGGTACTATTGTCAAAATGACATATGTCTCGCCGTTTTGTGTTTGTTTTGAGAAATGTCACTGATGTCAGTCAGTCTGTAAAAAGTATATTTACTATTATTTACTTGGTAAATAAGAAATAGTATGGGCTCCACACTTAGGAAAAAAGGGAAATGTGGCTTTACAACAATCTTTAATTCAGAACCGACTTGGTCAACCCCGACACGCCGTGGTCTTGGTCTGCCCTAGCCCTAGAGTGTTTTTTAGAGCCCGGAGGCGCGTAGGGAGAGCAGCTCCCGCCTGCTGTGACAAAGCCGCAAGCATCGTGCGACCCGTCGTAGCGCCTGAGGCTGGTCGCCGCCGGCGCCACCAACAAGCCAAAGGTGTGAAGGAGAGTGATGCTTGTGACTTTGTCACGCAAAGGCGACGGGGCTGTTATTCCCGCAGCGCCGGAGATAAGGCAGAACTACTGGTTCTAACTTCCCTAGTCCTTGCATCCTAAAAAAAAATATGAATTTTTAGGTTAGGTTAATTAAAAAAAAACATGCAATTCCGACTAAAATCTTTAGTAGGGGGGGAGTCGGGGAGACCCCCTCCTCCCCTCCACATCAAAACTACCCCGAAATTCCACCACAACTAATGGAAGTAACATATTTAGTACCGTAACACAAAATAACACCAATTTTATTTCACAATAGCCACTATGAACGAATTTAAGAATAATTAAAATAAGACGCCAACTGCACTCGATGAAATCCGGCCAAAAACGTTTTTAAATTCTCCGAATATGCTCGCGCATGCTTAAAACATACGATCTGCAAATGTTTCTATACACACATCAACTGTACTTGCGTAAACTGAAACATATAGATAGTCATACTACGAAAAATGCGAATAACGAAATTTATTTGTGTGTAACGTTTCGTTACTCGGTACTAGATGGCGCACCCGTTACGCAGTACCGAATACATACGGTTTCCTACAGCTCTAGCTGTAAACGATAAGTCTATAATCATTTGATTTAAAAACGGAGAATTTAAAACAAACTATGAGTGATTTTGTCTATGATTCCAAAATTACAATCATCTGTCATTTCAGTGTCGTGGTGCGAGAAATTTTTGTCTTTTATCTTACGTGCGTGTGCGTGTATTTTTTTCTATTTTATTTTTATTTTATATTGTTTAAAATTGCCAATAATCGATCATGTGTTTTTTCAGAGCCCTGCTGTCGTGTCATTTGTAAATCATGGCTGATATACAGTTTAATGATAATACTACTTGCGTAGTGTGTTTCAAGAACGTCTTGTATTTCTCGATTGGAGAATGTGATCATCCCGTATGTTTCGAGTGTTCTACCAGGATGAGGGTGCTCTGTCTCCAAAACGAATGTCCTATATGTCGTCAAATGCTAAACAGGGTAAGGGACAATTCTTTATTTAGTAGTTATGTAAAATTCTATTCGACCGCACATAGCTGAACAAGACCTTCTGTTACAAATAAATATAATGAACAGTGGTTTGTTCCGATAAAGGTGATTAACTATTATTGTGAAATAAATAACTACCTTCACATGTGGGTACCTAGTCAGTAATAAATTTATTTACTTGTACCTATGTGTTCGTCTGTTTGGCTTGTTATAATAAATAATGGTGTAGAGGATTATGTTTTATTTTATTTTATTTCATATCTGTCTTGTGAGAGCCAAGTATAACTCCCTCATAAATTTCTTGGTTACATGATTCTTATTGGAATTATATACTTAATTAAAGGCATAAAAACTGCTAATATTTTAAATATTTTATGAAATTTAGTTGAGAATTATATAAAGTATATAGTTATTTCAACTTCTAAGTTAAAGATTGAGTTTTTAAGTATTTCTTAGTTATAATAATATTAGTTTGAAGAAGTGCTTGTTTACTTTTGTAATTTTATGAATGAGATAAATACTCATTATTTAATTCGCCATAGCAGTAGATTTTCACATGTTACGGGGACTATTATAAAGGGAACTTATACCAGGAATATACAAAAAAGAAAATGAAACAAATTCCATTGAAAAATTGTTGTATAGTTATTGTTTTTTTTTCAGGTTGTCTTTACAGATTCTATCCAACCTTATAAAGAACTACGTAATAAAGTGTTCACCGACCGACTGTTTGAAAGGCAATTCAAGATAGGGTTTTGCAGTCAAGACATAAAGGATGCTTATGATAAATTACTAGAGAACTGTTGTAAATTATGTGATAATATACCACCATTCCGGACGTTCAGCATGTTAAATGATCACATGAGGAAAGTGCACGAGAGATATTTCTGTGATCTTTGTGTTAAGCATTTAAAGGTATTTCTTTTAATAAAATTGTTTTTTTCCATAAAGCTAATTTAAAACTTCAATGAAGAAACACTTTTATTTATATTATTATTTGTTTTGCTTCAACTTCAACAAATGGGAAGTTATGTGTAATTTTTTTTTTATCACAGATTTTCACTGGTGAAAGGAAATGTTATACTCGTCAAGAACTTGCCCATCATAGACGAAAAGGCGATTTAGATGATACTTCTCATAGGTATAGATTAGAGATTAGTAACTGTCATTTTTGTTATAATTTTCATTATTACTTCACATACTCACTGTGCTTTAATGTTATGATAATATATGCTGACTATAAAACGAATAAATTAATATTTCAGGGGTCACCCTTTGTGTGAATTTTGTGAGGAGCGTTTCATGGATGCAGATGAATTGTATCGTCATCTCAGGAAAGAACATCTGTATTGTCACCTCTGCGATGCTGATGGTCGCAACCTGTATTACGCGTCACATACTGCATTAGCACAACACTTTCGTACTGATCACTACCTCTGTGAAGAAGGTGAATGTGCGGGACAACATCTCACTGCTGTGTTTAGAAGTGAAATTGATCTTAAAGGTAAGCTTACAATGTTATTGCTCTTATCATATTATTAATTGCACTTAATCAATAAATAGATTAAAAATATGAAAGAGAACAAACTCTTCTGTATAATGTTATACCTAGTTAATACATTTTAAACATAGTATAGCTTTTTTCAAGCAAAGAAAAATTCAGTGCACCTAATCATTTTATATGATTAGATTGATTATTAAACATGAAATAATAGACGCGTCAATAAATAAATAAAGTTTTCATGCATTAACCCGTAAAAACTAGTTTTATTTAATGCGTGATGTGCGTGAAAACCTAAGAAACAAATATGAAATAATACAAATGTTTGCAAAAGCAAAGCAATATAATGTTTAAGACTGGGGAAGAAAACTGCCAATTCTCACTCCCTGAAGCATGGGGTGTTGAAAGGCTGAATCACCACCTGTAATTAGTTTTGCGTTTTCTCCTCCATTTGCTTTTTATACAGAGAGATATTTATAAAGCTGACTAGCTCGGCCAGCTAACTTCGTATCGCCATAAAAATATGGGTGGTAGAAGGGTGAAATTTAGGGT